ACCAAAAAGCTTTACAAATTTAAAATTGCTGGAAAATATTACATCTTCATGTAAGGCCCCCCTTCATTGGAAAACCTCCATTTTTAGCCACAGGCTCATATAAATTTGACTTTTTAATAATTATGATAAGTCTGATAAATCAAATGAGTACTCTATTGCTTTTAATACATAATATATTATATATTAAGGCATTTCAAAAGTATTTTTTTGCAATATTTAAATTTTTTAAGCCCCAAATGTTGATAGTTGAAAATTTTCAATTTTAACATCTAAATTTAACACTCAAAGTTGAATATAGAATTAGTCATATTGTCTATAATATATATCCTATTGCCATGAAACTTTGTAAGCAGTCCTATAATTTAATAAGCTTTGGTCATACCAAGTTTCATTAAGATTGGTCAACTTTTTCTACCCTATTAGGTCCGGGTACACAGTTATCGTCCTTTGATTTGCGTTGTCCACGAATATAGTCCCTAGTGTGGACAGTGTGTTACTTGTCGATTTTTTTTATACCCCTTCCGAATTTATTTCTCCATGTTTTATGACTCAAATAGTAAGTAGGGGGGTGAAATGACACTGTAAAAAAATTTGGGTCATGAATTTTAAAGTAAAGTAGTGATTTGGTCCAGCTGAAAAATGTTAAAAATTAGCACTTCGGAGGCTGTCAAAAGATTTGAAGACCCCCTCAGCATGAAATTGTCCATATTTTGAGTTAGAGCCGATGAAGTTTTCTATAATTTTGATATAATTTGTCCCAAAAGTAGTACAACACACTGTAAAAATATTATTGAGAAAGCGCAGGTGGGATTTTTTTAATTTTCATTTATTGTCTAAAAGAAATGCACTACGAAATAACTGTGTACTCGGACCTAAGAGGTGAAATCAGGAAATATAGAATCTGTACTTTGGCAACTTCCCTGAATGATTTGATGGTGTCAATTTATCAAATAGCATAAAACTAAAGGATTAAAACTTTTATTTGATAGAATTTCTGCAAAAATGACCAATTTTGGCATTTTATGGTCAAAATAAGCATTTCATAGCTTTTTCAATTTTGATGCATAAGTGGCATTCTGACTTTCTATCTGACAGGTTTTTATGTGTCAATATTTGTGTTTCTATGCTTCAATCCAGTTGTATTACTCATTTGTGAACTCTGAATCTACAGAAAAGAAGATTATCTCAGACAATATGTTCAAAATGTGTTGTATATATGGTCCTCGTCTAACGCCCTGTTTGGATCGAGTTAAATGTGAGGAACTTGGAACATAAAAGTTGAAGTCCATTATAAAGACCTCACTAAATTTGTATAAAAAGCACTTAACAATGTCTTTTGTACCTGTTTTATGTCACATAATATCTTTCTTTTCTTCTGTAGGATAGCAAGTGGTTCAAATATAAGCCTGTTGAGACTAAAATTGCATGCATGTTTTTCACTAAAAAGTGAAAAATCTTTGTATCAGACCATACTGTTTGCAAAAAAAGTTGAATGCAAGAGTCTTTTTGTGCTCAGATTTATTGTATCATGTCACCTGAGTATAGAAATGATAGAAAAGACACAAAATTTTATTTCATATAGCTTCAATATGCATTTTTAAATGTAAATATGTGATACGGCCTAAATTGACCCTAAATTATTTTCAGTCTTACTTGGCCTAAGACCCTTTTAAACTAATGTGATATGTTATTTGTAAGTTTTCTTTCCATTTAAAGTACATTAAATACATATGTAAGGATTATTTATAACCAAAAAGCTTTACAAATTTAAAATTGCTGGAAAATATTACATCTTCATGTAAGGCCCCCCTTCATTGGAAAACCTCCATTTTTAGCCACAGGCTCATATAAATTTGACTTTTTAATAATTATGATAAGTCTGATAAATCAAATGAGTACTCTATTGCTTTTAATACATAATATATTATATATTAAGGCATTTCAAAAGTATTTTTTTGCAATATTTAAATTTTTTAAGCCCCAAATGTTGATAGTTGAAAATTTTCAATTTTAACATCTAAATTTAACACTCAAAGTTGAATATAGAATTAGTCATATTGTCTATAATATATATCCTATTGCCATGAAACTTTGTAAGCAGTCCTATAATTTAATAAGCTTTGGTCATACCAAGTTTCATTAAGATTGGTCAACTTTTTCTACCCTATTAGGTGAAATCAGGAAATATAGAATCTGTACTTTGGCAACTTCCCTGAATGATTTGATGGTGTCAATTTATCAAATAGCATAAAACTAAAGGATTAAAACTTTTATTTGATAGAATTTCTGCAAAAATGACCAATTTTGGCATTTTATGGTCAAAATAAGCATTTCATAGCTTTTTCAATTTTGATGCATAAGTGGCATTCTGACTTTCTATCTGACAGGTTTTTATGTGTCAATATTTGTGTTTCTATGCTTCAATCCAGTTGTATTACTCATTTGTGAACTCTGAATCTACAGAAAAGAAGATTATCTCAGACAATATGTTCAAAATGTGTTGTATATATGGTCCTCGTCTAACGCCCTGTTTGGATCGAGTTAAATGTGAGGAGCTTGGAACATAAAAGTTGAAGTCCATTATAAAGACCTCACTAAATTTGTATAAAAAGCACTTAACAATGTCTTTTGTACCTGTTTTATGTCACATAATATCTTTCTTTTCTTCTGTAGGATAGCAAGTGGTTCAAATATAAGCCTGTTGAGACTAAAATTGCATGCATGTTTTTCACTAAAAAGTGAAAAATCTTTGTATCAGACCATACTGTTTGCAAAAAAAGTTGAATGCAAGAGTCTTTTTGTGCTCAGATTTATTGTATCATGTCACCTGAGTATAGAAATGATAGAAAAGACACAAAATTTTATTTCATATAGCTTCAATATGCATTTTTAAATGTAAATATGTGATACGGCCTAAATTGACCCTAAATTATTTTCAGTCTTACTTGGCCTAAGACCCTTTTAAACTAATGTGATATGTTATTTGTAAGTTTTCTTTCCATTTAAAGTACATTAAATACATATGTAAGGATTATTTATAACCAAAAAGCTTTACAAATTTAAAATTGCTGGAAAATATTACATCTTCATGTAAGGCCCCCCTTCATTGGAAAACCTCCATTTTTAGCCACAGGCTCATATAAATTTGACTTTTTAATAATTATGATAAGTCTGATAAATCAAATGAGTACTCTATTGCTTTTAATACATAATATATTATATATTAAGGCATTTCAAAAGTATTTTTTTGCAATATTTAAATTTTTTAAGCCCCAAATGTTGATAGTTGAAAATTTTCAATTTTAACATCTAAATTTAACACTCAAAGTTGAATATAGAATTAGTCATATTGTCTATAATATATATCCTATTGCCATGAAACTTTGTAAGCAGTCCTATAATTTAATAAGCTTTGGTCATACCAAGTTTCATTAAGATTGGTCAACTTTTTCTACCCTATTAGGTCCGGGTACACAGTTATCGTCCTTTGATTTGCGTTGTCCACGAATATAGTCCCTAGTGTGGACAGTGTGTTACTTGTCGATTTTTTTTATACCCCTTCCGAATTTATTTCTCCATGTTTTATGACTCAAATAGTAAGTAGGGGGGTGAAATGACACTGTAAAAAAATTTGGGTCATGAATTTTAAAGTAAAGTAGTGATTTGGTCCAGCTGAAAAATGTTAAAAATTAGCACTTCGGAGGCTGTCAAAAGATTTGAAGACCCCCTCAGCATGAAATTGTCCATATTTTGAGTTAGAGCCGATGAAGTTTTCTATAATTTTGATATAATTTGTCCCAAAAGTAGTACAACACACTGTAAAAATATTATTGAGAAAGCGCAGGTGGGATTTTTTTAATTTTCATTTATTGTCTAAAAGAAATGCACTACGAAATAACTGTGTACTCGGACCAGTTCAACCAACATTCGACAGGTTTTCAGCATACACTGACCTCAGAACAACCAGCATTCGACCTGATTTCAACATACAATGACCACAGTTCAACCAACATTCAACATGTTTTCAGCATACGCTGACCATAGTTCAACCAGCATTCGACCTATTTTCAACATACACTGACCACAGTTCAACCAGCATTCGACCTGATTTCAACATTTACTGACCACAGTTCAACCAGCATTCGACCTAATTTCAACATACACTAACCACAGTTCAGCCATCATTCGACTTGTTTTCAACTTGCATTGACCAAATTTAGACCAAAATTCAACCTATTTTCAACGTTGGAAGCTGACGTTGAATCAACGTTATGTTTTCAACGGTATATCAATTTTCAATCCAACACTACTTTTCAACATTGATTCAACGTTGAAATCTGACGTTTATTCAATGTTGAATCAACGTTGCTGTGCCTGCTGGGATGTTTCCTTATGTTTTAAGGTGTATATAGTTGCTACAATTATACCCTATGGGTAGTGCTCCATAATTAATGGAGGAATATACAAGACACTGAACTGAACTTTACAGATACTAAAGATGTGTACTTCTTATATTTCTGAATTGTTTAAAGTTTAAAAATGACTTACAAAAATATTAATTACATAACATACAGTTAACTTGTATACAACCTATTGATATTATAGCTGCCAATCATATATGTTATGTATTATTATGCAATGCACTTTGTATTGAGATTATCGGTTGTAGTGGTTGCGTTTGTGCCAATATATATATTGTCTATTGTGACAGTGTCTATAAATTAAGATGGGATAATTTATAAAAAAAAATCAACTAAAATTCTGATCAGCAAATGATTCAAAGTAACACTATCTAATTTCAATGAAGCATAAAATGTATCAACGTGTATTAAATTACCTGCAAGCAGAGTAAACATACCAAAAAATAATTAACGTCCTCTGTACTTCTATTGTGTTGTTTACTTTTGGGTTTAGTATTGCATCTTAATGATTCTGTAGGTATATAAACCTCCCAAGTGATTTACGTCTGCAAACCGGAAAGCATAGAATGTAACCAAAGACCCAAAAAAATCAAGGTAGCGTCATGTCTGACCTACCATGATCGTTTTTAACAGTCTAGTGAAGATACAGTACAAGGAAACCTCGTAATGTTTTATGAGCTCCTTTTTTGACAATTTGATTTCTAGGAAAGGGTTAGTGTAAAAAATCAATAATTTTGAACTTGTTTTTTTTTTAGCATAGCTAAATATCCACGATCAACCACAGGAGTTGAAATCCTAGCAATAAAGGTGTATAAATATGCCAAACTCGACTATCACAGTAGAGCTTCTCTCGAAGAGAGAATCGCAGACATAATTAATGATAAGGTAGATGGTGTTTAGAGCAATTCTGAAGTTGAAGGACAGGCTTGGATAATTGTCACAGCAGGCAAGGTGTCGTAGAGTAATGAACAGCTTAGCTTGAGACGAGTAGGGAGAGACTGTCTGTACCATGTGTCCATCTTCTCAATTCTGCATTATACCCTTCACAGGACCTCATCATAGATGCCCCTGGGACATCTTGTGTAGTTGTAGAAGGCTTTCTCATCTTCTGTTTTGAACTCCTTTAGTAGAGTGCTATAGTGGCCATAGCGTTCTCATCTTTTGTCAGACCGCCATTTTCTTACCCACACAGACCTCGGTTTCCTCCTTCACCTCGGTTTCCTCCTTCACCTCAGTTTGTCCCTGCACTGCAAAATAAAAAGCAAAAAAAGATAAAGACATTGTTGAATATTAGAAAGGCAAATAACAAGAAAGTCTTCGAGAGAAGCTCTACTGTGATAGTCGAGTTTGGCATATTTATACACCTTTATTGCTAGGATTTCAAACTCCTGTGGATCAACTGAGTCTGAGGTCTTCAACTTTTGCTACATGTACATTCGGTCATCCATCAACACAACGGAAAGAGCATGTTATTGAAAATTTATATGATTTACTTTGGCTACGTTTATACCACAAAATCCACTTATTTGAAGGTTTCACACTAAGGTGTACATGGAAAAGTTTATCTGCGCCAAATGCAGTCTTTGCGCTCAACCACAGGCCCACCAGCCCAGGCTTGTAAAAAAACTGACGGGCCGGTAAAAATCATCTGTACAGGCCAAAAGAATCTAACTAAAGTCCAAATAATTATGATTACGCGCGACTTCTTGATACGTTTTTAAATTTTTTTGCTGTGACGTTCCTACACCATCATAGACATAGTAGACCTTATCGCTATTTTGAAATCTGCAACACTTGACCTGAGAATTTGTGACACTTGATCTATTGACATCAAACAACAATCACTTATTCTTTGCGGCATCAGACATTTTCTATTGTGACGTTCAAAATTATATGGGAACCTTTGTGATGTCCAGTAATGGCGGACAAATAGCGATAAGGTGTATGCCAAATCCATTTTTTTTTTGGTTGAACTTTAAGAGAGAATTTACCTCTGAACTTTGACACTAAATCTTCACTGCCAGCTAGAAAATTTTGGATTTATATATACAAATTTCTTCCTTTTGTGTGCTTGTTGGTGCAAAATATTTCCAAAATTCATGATAAAATAAGTTACAATTCCATCCGAGATACCAATGATGGGGGTCCTTTATTTCTGTATTCTTTAATTTTTTAGGCCTTTTTTCCTCTATTCTTTATACTTTTTGCCCATTATTCTCTATTCTTTATATTTTAGCACCTAGTTATTATCTATTCTTTATTTTTTTTTATTCATTTTTCTCTATTCATTATATTTTTTGCCCATTATTTTCTATTCTGCAAATCCCAGTAATAATTTCTGTGTAGGGTGACCAGAGGTAACCAAAGTGAATATATGTGTTAGGAGTCATGGGTACTACTTGTACAAGTAATCTTTATTTACTTGAAGAAGTAAAAAAAATATACTTATATAAGTAAATTATAATGTTTGAATAATCTCCCCTTAATTTTCTCAAAAATTTACTTGTATTTAAATTAAATTTTTTTTACAATCCCACAAAAATTCTCAAGTTTTGAGATGTAAAAACATGCCTTTAACAATTTTTCTAAGGTTAGCTTATAATTTTTGATTAGAGTTCAATGTTTCATCTCATTAATTCAACAAAGAAACTGATTGCGCAAAGATCTTAAGTATTTGCGCAAGGCCTTCAAAAGTTGCCCCTTGGGGGCTTGTAAATGAGTTTAAAAATGTTTAGTTTGGATTACCTCCCTTACACTGCTTTTAAATTGTCTTAAGTAATTGTCCATTAACCAGGAAACCCTTGTTTTTTCCCCCTTTTTTGCCCCTAATTCCTAAACGGTTTGGGCCATAACCTCCCAAAGCAAATCCTAACCATCCCTTTGTGGTATGGAAACTTGTGGTATAATTTCGGAGAGATCCATACACCATTCCACAAGTTATTGTCTGGAAACTACAAAAATGCTTATTTGGACCCCTTTTTGGCCCCTAATTGCTAAACTGTTAGGACCATAACCCCCAAAATCAATCCCAACCTTTATTTTGTGGTTATAAACCTTGTATTTAAATTTCATAGATTTAATTATACTAAAGTTATTGTCCGGAAACCAACTGTCTTCTTATGACGACGAGGTGATACCAATATACGACCGCAAAACTTTTTGCGGTCGTATAAAAACTGCAAAATTTCCTTAAAATTACTAATTCAGGGGCAGCAACCCAACAATGGCTTGTCTGATTCGTCTGAAAATTTCAAGACAGATAGTTCTTAACCTGATGAACAAATTTGCTCTAAATGCTCTAGTTTCAGAGATATAACATGTATAATCCAAAAAATGCATTTTACCCCCTATGTACTATTTTTAGCCATGTCGGCCATCTTGATTGGTGAGCAGGGTCATCGGACACATTTTTTAAACTAGATACCCAATAATGATTGTGACTAAGTATGGTTAAATTGGCCCAGTAGTTTCAGAAGAGAAGATTTTTGTAATAGATTACAAAAATTTACGGAAAATTGTTAAAAATTGATTATAAAGGGCAATCACTCCTTAAGGGGTCAATTGACCATTTTGGTCATGTTGACCTATTTGTAGATCTTTGCTGAACATTATTGCTGTTTACAGTTTATCTCTATCTATAATACAATGTAAATATATTCAAGATAATAACCAAAAACTGCAAAATTTCCTTAAAATTACCAATTCAGGGGCAGCAACCCAACAACGGGTTGTCTGATTCATCTGAAAATTTTAGAGCAGATAGATCTTAACCTGATGAACATGTCAGATTTGCTCTAAATGCTTAGTTTCAGAGATATAAGCCAAAATCTGCATTTTACCCCTATGTTCTAGTTTTAGCCATGTCGGCCATATCGGTTGACAGGCGGGGTCATCGGAAACAATTTTAAACTATATACCCTAGAGATGAGTGTGGCCAAGTTTTGTTTAATTTGGCCTAGTAGTTTCAGAGGCGAAGATTTTTGTAAAAGTTAACGGACGACGAGGACGGACTACAGACGAGGGACGCCAAGTGATGAGAAAAGCTCACTTGGCCCTTTGGGCCAGGTGAGCTAAAAAAGATAATTTCTTGGCTTTACATTAAACACAAACCAATCCGTAGATGAATCCCGATTCATTCTAAATTTATTATCCTCTTGTCACTTCCTGTTTTCATTTCGCTTAAACATGTTAAAAATTGAAAGTAACATAAACGTGATCTTCTCTTGATATATTTAAAATAGACAGTCTTCTTAATCATTCCAAGCTCATAAAAATGAATTCCAAATATCGATTTTAAAACGTTTCACAGGGATATTGATTATGCAGTGAAATATTCCTTACAATTTCATTTATCATGTTTATGTTGTGATTCCTTGCTTTGAAAAAGAGGAACCCGACTTTTGTTGATCAGGATGTCCCCTCAAAATAACTGAAATTGTGAACTAAATTTCCGGATCCTTGTTCTTATCTTCATATTTAAGCATCACACCAGTAGAATCATACCATGACTGCCTACATTTGTTGCTTGCTTAAGGCCTCCAAAGATTCTTGTCCTTGCAGGAATAGGGCATATCGTCCAAGGACACAGTTATCGTCCTTTGGTTTTCATTGTCTACGAATATAGTCCCTAGTGTAAACAGTGTATAACTTGCATTTTTTTTCATACACTTACCCAATTTATTTCTTGATATTTGATGCATGAAATATAAAGTAAGGGGGTGAAATTACATGTTAAAAAAATTTGTTTGCTGAATCTTTATGTCACATGTACAAATGTATGTTAAGTAGTGATTTGGTCTAGTTAAAAAAGGTAAAAAATTAGTATCTGAAACTGTCAAACTGAATTTTAGACCCCTTTAACATAGAATTGTCCATATTTTGAGTTAGAGCTGGTAGAAGTTTCTATAATTTTAATATTATTTGTCCCAAAAGTAGTACACTACACTGTAAAAATCTTTTTGAGATAGAGCAGGTGCGATTTTTTTAATTTGAATTTATTGTCTAAAAGAAATGCAGTACGAAATAACTGTGTTCTCGGGCCATATGTATAGCTAGTAATATACATCCTTGTCCCTTACTGTTACCCAAAATAAGGTTGATTTTCATCTAGTGTAAAAGTTACTAAACCCTCTCAAAACTCCTAGCTGAAACCCCTACAGTTTACATAGGACAATGATTGACATGCCCTTTTTGAAATATCAATCATCGTGCTAAATCGCCCTTTTCATGATTGTCTCCCTGCCCTTTTGAAATCCTAGCTGGAACACTGATTAAGGCTATGTTTTAACATGTTTAAGTTACTGCGCAAAGTTTCAAGAACTCCCAAGTGCCCAACAAAAGTAAAAAATCTGATTATTTAACAAATAACAAACATATGTTACTACAGATGAAGAAAATTTTGAAACAAGAGTAGACAGTCAGGGGTACTACTTGTACAAGTAATTTTTATTTACTTGAAGAAGTAAATATTAATATACTTATATAAGTAAATTTGTACGATACTTATACAAGTGTATTTTATTTACTTGTATACATGGTATAAGTAAAAAAAAATGGGCTTAGTTATGTCCCTTAGACATTCAGATTTTTTTACTTATACAAGTAAAAAAGTCATCCTATCTTCTTTTCTTGAATTCTTAGGACTTCTTTGCTCTAATAGAATTTTGATTGTCTGTCCTTTGCAGATGTCTTTACTAATCATATAAGTGTAA